TAATTCCACCACCATCAACTATTCCAAAACAAACAAAAAAAAAGAATGAGCAATCAATGGTCATTAACATCCCTCAACTCGCCCATAAAGAGACACAGGCTAACAGAATGGATTCAAAGACAAAACCCATCCTTCTACTGCATACAAGAAACATATCCCAGCCTCAAAGACAGACATTACCTCAGAGTTAAGGGTGGGGAATAGATTTTCCAAACAAATGGACCCAAGAAACAAGCAGGGGAAGCAATCCTAATATCTAACAAATTAGATTTCAAAATAAAATCAATCAAAGAGATGAAGGAGGGCACTTCATACTCATCACAGGAGAAATACACCAAGATGAAGTTTCAATTTTGAACATCTATGCCCCAAATAAAATTCATCCACATTCATAAAAGAAACATTACTAAAACTCAAATCACATATAAAGCCCCACACACTTATAGTGGGAGACTTCAACACCCCACTCTCACCTCTAGACATGACTACCAGACATAAACTTAACAAAGAAGCAAAGGAACTGATAGAAGTTATGACCCAATTGGGATTAACAGACATCTATATAACATTCCACCCAAATAAAAAAGAATATACCTTCTTCTCAGCGCCACATGGAACCTTTTCAAAAATTGACCACATACTTGGCAACATAGCAAACCTCAACAGGTACAAAAACAATGGAATAACTCCATGCACCTTATCAACAACAACACAAATTGAAAGAAAACCTACAAAATCATGGAAGTTGAATAACGCACAATTGCACTATTCCTGAGTCAATGAAGAAATAAAAAAAAGAATTTAAAGACTTGGTAGAATTCAATGAGAATGACGACACAACATAACCAAACTTATGGGACACTTTGAAAGCAGTGCTACAAGGGAAGTTCGTAGCACTAGGTGCCCACATGAAGAAACTGGAGGATAGTTACATTAGAGAATTAACAGCACAACTGAAAGCTCTAGAACACAAAGAAGCAAATTCACCCAGGAGGAGTAGACAGCAGGAAATAATCAGATTGAGGGCTGAAATCAATAAAGCAGAGACTAGGAAAACAATACAAAAAATCAATGTAACGAAGAGCTGGTTCTTTGAAAAAATCAACAAGATAGACAAACCTTTATCCAAACTGACCGAACAGCAGAATGTGAACATGCAAATTAACAAAATCAGAAATGAAAAGGGGGACATAACAACAGACTCCGAGGAAATCCAGAGAATCATCAGGTCATACTTTGAAAACCTGTACTCCACACAATTTGAAAATCTAAAGGAAATGGACAATTTTCTGGATAGATATCACTTGCCAAAATTAAATCAAGAACAGATAAGCAATTTAAATATAGATCTATAATCTCTAAGGAAATAGAAGCAGTCATCAAAAATCACCCAACTAAAAGAAAAATCCCGGGGCCAGATGGCCTCAGTGCAGAATTCTACCAGAAATTCAAAGAACAGCTTATACCAATTCTTCTCAAAGTATTCCACGCAATAGAAGCATAAGGGTCTTTGCCCAACTCTTTCTACGAGGCTTCAATAACCTTGATCCTCAAGCCACACAAAGACACATCTAAGAAAAAGAACTTCAGACCAATATCTCTCATGAACATTGATGCAAAAATACTCTAAAAAATACCCGCAAATCGGATCTAAGAACACATCAAAACAATCATTCACCACAATCAAGTAAGTTTCATCCCAGGGATGCAGGGATGGTTTAACATATGAAAATCCATCAATGTAATCCACAATATAAACAAGCTGAGAAACAAAAATCACATGATCATCTCACTGGATGCTGAAAAAGCCTTTGACAAAATCCAAGGCCCCTTCATGATAAAGGTCTTGGAGAGATCTGGGATAACAGGAACTTAACTAAACATAATAAAAGCTATATACAGCAAACCAACAGCCAACATAAAACTAAATGGACAGAAACTCAACGCAATTCCTCTAAGATCAGGAACAAGACAAGGCTGTCCACTCTCTCTATACCTCTTCAGTATTGTACTTGAAGTTCTAGCTAGAGCAATACAGACAACAAAAGGAGATCAAAGGGATACAAATTGGAAAGGAAGAGGTCAAACTTTCACTATTTGTAGATGATATGATAGTTTACATAACTAAAAAACTCCACCAGGCAACTCCTGCAGCTGATAAATACTTTCAGCAAAGTGGCAGGATACAAGATCAACTCAAGAAAATAAATAGCCCTACTATATACAGACGATAAAAGGGCTGAGCAAGAAATCAGAGAAAGATCACCCTTTACAATAGCCAAAAACAACATAAAATACCTTGGGGTAACGCTAACCAAACAAGTGAAAGACCTGTATAGCAAGAACTTTGAGTCTTTAAAGAAAGAAATTAAAGAAGACACCAGAAGGTGAAAAGATCTCCTATGCTTTTGGATAGGTAGAATCAACATAGTAAAAATGACAATCTTACTGAAACCAATATACAGATTTAACGCAATCCCTATTAAAATCCCAGCACAATTCTTCACAGACCTTGAACGAACAATAATCAACTTTTTATGGAACAACAAAAGACCCAGGATAACCAAAACAACCTTATTCAACAAAACAACATCTGGAGGCATCGCCATCCCTGACTTCAAGCTCTATTATAGAGCTGTAGTCGTGAAAACAGTTTGGTATTGGCACAAAAATAGACAGGTAGACCAATGGAATGGAATTGAACACCTAATATTAACCCATACATGTATGAACATCTGATTTTCGACAAAGAAGCTAAAAATGTACAATGGAAAAAAGAAAGTATCTTCAACAAATGGTCCTGGCATAACTGCATGCTGGCATGTAGAAGAATGAGGATAGACCCATGTCTATCGCTATGCACAAAACTTAAGTCCAAATGGATCAAAGATCTCAACATAAATCCAGCCATACGGAACCTGTTACAAGAGAGAGTGGGAGGCACCCTTGAACGCACTGGTACAGTAGACTGCTTCCTGAACATAATTCCAGTAGCACAGACACTAAGATCGACAATTAATAAATGGGAACTCCTAAAACTGAGAAGCTTCTGTAAGGCAAAGGACACAGTCAGCAAGACAAAAAGGCACCCCCCACACCCCACAGATTGGGAAAAGATATTCACTAACCCCACATCTGACAGAGGGCTGATCTCCAAAATTTACAAAGAACTCAAGTAGCAAGTCTCCAAAACACCAAAGGATCCAATTAAAAAGTGGGGGACTGAACTAAATAGAGAATTCTCAATAGAGGAGTATAAAATTGCTGAGAGACACTTGAGAAATCATTATCCATTAGGGAAATGCAAATTCTTACTCCTGTCAGAATGGCTAAAATCAAAAACACCAATGACAGTTTATGCTGGAGAGGATGTGGTGAAAGGGAAACATTCCTACACTGCTGGTGAGAGTGCCGACTTGTACAGCCACTTTGGAAATCAGTATGGAGATTCCTCAGGAAAATGGGACTCAGTCTACCACAAGACCCAGCAATTCCATTCTTAGGCATATACCCAAATGATGTACATGCATACAACAAGGACATTTGTTCCACTGTGTTCACAGCAGCATTATTTGTAATAGCCAGAACCTGGAAACAACCTAGATGCCCCTCAACTGAAGAGTGGATAGAGAAAATGTGGTACATTTACACAATGGGGTACTATTCAGTGGAAAAAAACAATGGGATCTTCAAATTTGCAGGCACTAGAAGAAACCATACTGAGTGAGGTAACCCAGTCACAAAAAGAGAAACATGGTATATACTGACTCATTTATAAATTTTACACATGAATCAGGGGAGTGCCAGCATCCAACCCCACTGCCAGAGAGTCTAGGAAACAGAACCTTCATCCAGCAACTGATGAAATCAGAGGCAGATACCCACAGACAAACACTGAACCTGAACTCCTAGAATCCAGTGTCAGAAAGAGAGAACTGATGGGCAAAGGAGTTAAGAGTGGGCTGGTTTAACCCACAGAAACAGTTGACCTGAACAAGGTGGAGCTCTTAGATTCCAGATTATTGCCTGTGTGGAAAGCATGGGACTGACCCAGACCCCCTGAATGTAGGTGTCAGGTGAGGAGGCCTAGGTAATCTATGGTGCCTTCAGTAGTATTTATCCCTGGCATACAAATAGACTTTGAGTGCCCATGCCACAATATGGGAGGCTCTCTCAGTCGGGACTCTTGGAGGAGGGCATAGGCCCTGCCCTGGATGAAATAACAGTTACTGGAGATCCACCATGGAGTGCCTCACCCTCCTTGGTGATTGGAATGGAGATTGGGTGGGGAACTGGGGGACCTGGTGGGGAGGGTGGGGGAGTAGGGGAGGGAGAGGGAGCTTGGATTGACATGTGAAACAAGATTGTTTCTAACCCAAATAAAAAATAATTAAAAAAAAAAGAAAGAAGACATGGCCAGGGCTTAAAGTACCGGGCACATTCATATAACATAGTTTCAGATACAGAGTATCCGTGCCTGCATGTTTCTGGAGAGTTGCATCCTGTGTAATCAGAGTATCAGGGTGTCTTGACTGTGGCTGAGGAGAACTTCCTGAAACCCTCAGAAAATAATGTGCCTACAGCTCACTCCTTTTGTAATGAACCAGTTGACAGACTTCTAATTCTCTTACCATTGTAATTTGTTTGAAAATTCTGCTGCTGCTGTTTTTCATGCAATATTTCTGAGACTAGGAAGTCCAGTTGTCCTCCAAGGCATAACAAGGGAGGCACATCAAGAACTCACAAAGTAGATAAATGTGGTACCTCGAAGTGATTCCAGCTACCTGGCAGGCTTAGTCAGGGGATTTACTTGAGCCCAGGCAAGAGTTAAAGGATAGCCTGACTGACCTAGCAAGATACTGGTCTCTTTAAAAGCAAGCAAAGAAAACAGATGAGCAAACCAGAAAGATAGGATAGGAAAATTCATCCCCAAGTCAGGCATGGTTGCACAGGCCTGTAATACCCGTACTTGAAAGGCTGAAGGAGAAGGATCATGGTGAGGTGGGGGGCATGCTGGGCTACAACAGAGCAAGATTTTGCCTTGAAGAGAAATAGGGAGGGAGGAGGGGAGGAAAATGAAAGTTTAGTGTTAATTACAGTGAGACTCCTGTCTTATCACCTTTGCTAATTAGGAATTGTATGGCCTAGCATATAGTCTATTAGAGTCTGCTAAAGGGAATCTTGAATGGGATGGCCTGTTCAGATAGTCCTTCTGTAGACACAAACTGAGAGTATCAGCATATCCGTTCATTTATTTGGTGAGCAGCGGCATCAATATAATCAGAAGCAGTCTGGATAGTATCTCGATTCTTCCTGAAATGTAAAAGAAACTAGTAATTAGGTGGTACTCACTTCAGAAGTACCCTTTGACTTCAAGTTTAAGTGTAGCTTCCTTGGGTTTGCAAACTTAGTTTTGATGGTGGTGGTATACGCTAATGTGGTACATGTGTTTGTGTATGCACATGTGTGTGAGGGTACATATATATATATATATATATATATATATATATATATATATATATATATATGCCAGTGTGTGCACATGTGGAGGCCAGAGTTTAATGTCTGGTTGCTTTATCACTTTGTTAGCATTCAGGCATTTTACACCAGTCTGCACTTGGGGACCTAGCAGAACACAGCAGCAGTCAAGATGTGACACTCAGTACCACTGAGTAGAGCATTCTATGCACATGCACTGTGTCTCCTCATAAAAAGCAAGCCCTTCTTGCCCCATTCTCTTCTCCTTTGGCTCTTGCTCATAGGACCCCTCTGTACTCCCCCCATACACCTCCCACGTGAGCTCTGTTACATGAGTTGACTTTGTGGTGTCCTTGGCCCCAACCGGCCTAGGTTACCTTCCGCCATTTAACCATTACACTTTTCATCTTATTTTTTGAGTCTCACATTGAACTTGGTGGACATTAGTTGGGTAACCTAACTGGCCGGTGAACTCTAGGGATCCTGCTGGCTTTGCTCTACCAGCTGTGGGGCTACAGATGAGTACTACCACACACATATGAATGCCAAGGATGAAAGGCAGGTCGTAATGCTTAAATAGTGATCCCTTTTACCCTCTAAGCCATCTTCCCAGCACAAGATCCACCTGTGATGACATAAAATTGAAGCAATCTTTATGACCATCACAGACATGACGTTGGTAGACCTTATCCCTTCCTCTAAACATTGGTTGTCTTCATCTATCTTTAATCCAATCAAGCAGGAGCACCGCTGAGATCAAATCTCCCTGTTAGAGTGGGGGCCCTGGCCAAATTTGTTCTTTGGAAGAAGTTATTCTTTGGGTTTTTTTGTTTTTGTTTTGTTTGGATTTGGTTTGGATTTTGAGACAGGGTTTCCCTGTGTAGCTTTGGAGTCTGTCCTGTAACTCTGTCTGTAGACAAGGCTGACCTGGAACTAACAGAAATTCGCCTACCACTGCCTCCCAAGTGATGGGATTAAAGGCGAGCCCAACCAATGCCCAGCAGAAGTTATTATTAGCATGGTGGCAACAACACTTTCAGACAGACAGTGAATACAGACTTGCTTTTAAAAGAGCTCCCCCACACTTTGTGACAAGAAAAAAGTCATATGGATCAGCTCTTAAGATTACTTCCTTCACCACAGATAAGACTAAAGATAATGAGGACAGTAATTCCTATAGCTAAGGATAAAAGACACCCCTTTGCTGAAGAGACATGTACTGGTAAAGAGCACTTACTGCTCTTGCAGAGAACCTAGATTCAGTTCCCCACACCTTCATCAGGTGGCTCACAATTGCCTGTAACTTCAGTTCCAGGGCATCCAATCCCCTCTGGCCTCTGTGGGTGCCAGCACACAAGTAATGCACATATGAAGTTCATGTAGGTTGCAGGGCATCTGTGGCATGGTGCACTACAAAAGTCCAAGTCTCTACTCCCCCACAGAGGAAGGAAGGCTTACAGCCTTAGCTACATTCCCTTTCTAGAGAGGGTACCCATATTTGGAGAAAGTACATTAAAAAAAGAACATGGCTCTTGAGCAAAAAGGAGCGAGGTCTCAATGAAATGAAAGTTCAAAGAATTAAGAAAACATGCTGGTACAGGGTGGTAGCCGCACATACCTTTCAGATCTCTGTGAATTCGAGCCTTGTCTACAAAGCAAGTTCCAGCACTGTTGGAGCTGTTATACACAGAAATCTGGTCTCAAAAAAAATCAAAACTAAAAAATAAAAGAAAGAAAGAAACGAAAAAGAAAAAATGCTGGTTGGTGAGATGGCTCAGTGGGTCTAACTCTTAATGATAAAGAACTTAAAGACTAAAGACCAGAATATCTTCCTCTGCTCCCTTCTTGAGACCTCCCACAGAGGTTAGCAAGCTGTCAATGATATGCAAAATTGGAGTAAATGGCTCTGTTGAAAGGTGTAGCTCATCAGCATATTAAAGCCCCAGTATTGCTCTTAGTTAGGTTAGAATGGGTATGGGAAAAGATTCTGTCTCCTTAAAAATAGTAAGGGCTGATGCAAACCCAAATATGTCAACTGAGACACTTTAGAAAAAGAGGACTGTGTACTGACTGCAGACCTGAGAACAAGTAGCGATCATCAACCACAAAGGCTTTGTGTCATCGAGTATACATCTAAAGGAAAAGGAAAGAAATTCAAGTCAGTTTACAGATTCATCATAAGTAAAGCAGAACTCAGTGAGCACTTATAATCCTAGCTACGATGGTGTGTAAGATAGTCGTCAAAATCATTATTAGGGAGGGGTATTTAAAGTAGTCTCTCCACTACTGCTTGGTTTGCCAGGTGGTGTCATCCTTGTAGATCTCTGGAGTTCTCACTAGTGCCAGATCTCCCCTCAAACCTATAATGACTCCCTCTATTATGGTATCTCTCATCCTGCTCTCCTCTATTCTTTCCCCAACTCAACTTTCCTGCTCCCCCATGTTGTCCTCTTCCTTCCTCTTGTCTCCCTCTCTTTTTCCTGCCTCCCTTTCCCCTCCCCCACCCCGTGCTCCCAATCTGCTCAGGAGATCTTGCCTCCTTCCACCTTCTCTGGGGTACCATGCATATCTCTCTTAGGGTCCTTCCTGTTTCCCCGACTCTCTGGCAGTGGAGTTGTATGCTGGCACTCCCACAATTCATGTCTAAAATCCATATAGGAGTAAGTACATACATTGTTTCTCTTTTTGTAACTGGGTTACCTCACTCAGGATGGTTTCTTATAGTGCCATCCATTTGCCTGCAAATTTCAAGATTCCATTGTTTTGTTCTGCTGAATAGTATTCCACTGTGTAAATGTACCACAGTTTCTCTATCCAGTCTTGACATCTAGATTGCTTCCAGGTTCTGGCCCTAATAATGATTTTGACGACTATCTTACATACCATCCTAGAACCTCCATCCGGTGACAGAGTGAAGCAGAGGCAGACACCCACAGCTAAACACTGAACTGAACTCCTGGAACCCAGTGACAGAGAGGGAGGAGTGATGAGCAAAGGGGTCAAGACTGCACTTTTGAATCCCAGAGAAACAGCTGACCTGAACAAGGGGGAGATCTTGGACCCCAGACTGATGGCTGAGAGGTCAGCATGGGACTGATCCAGACCCCCTGAATGTGGGTATCAGTGAGGAGACTCGTGCAATCTATGGGGTTTTTGGGTAGTAGATCAGTATTTATCCCTGTCACACAAATGGACTTTGGGGACCTATATCACAATGAGGGATGCTTTCTCAATCTGGACACTTTTGGGAGGGCCTGGGCCCTCCCCAGAAGTAAATGATGAACTCTAGAGGTCCCCCATGGAGGGCCTTACCCTCCCTGGGGAATGGAATGGGGATTGGGTGGGGGGCTGGGGGGATTGGAGGGAGGGAGTGGGCATGGAGAGGAGGGAGAGGGAGCTGGGACTGACAGCTTGTTTCTAATTTAAATATATAATAAAAAGTGTATTTGAGGTGCACTCTCACCCTGAACTCTTGGGGAAGGGTCTAGGCCCTGCCCCTATATGAAATGACAGACTATGGACACCACCATGGAGGGCCTCACCCTCCCTGGGGGAATGAGGGGATAACGGGGGGGGGTTGGGGGAGGGTACGGGAGGAGGGGAGGGAAAGGGAGAGGGACCTGGAACTGACTTGTGAAACAACCTTGTTTCTTATCTAAATTTAAACTGGAAAATAAAAAAAAAAAGAAATAAATTTTTTTTAAAAAGTGTAAAAAATAATCCTAGTTACATGGAAAATGGAGGTAAGGGGGACATTTGAATCCAGTTTAGCATAGCAATCATGGGAGTGCAGGGAGAGCCTAAAGGCACCCGTTTTCTTTTCTATCAGTCTGAGACAGAAAATAGGCTTCAGGAGTCTAACAACCTAAAACAAGCAAACAAACAAAGACTGCTGCTACAAGCTGCTGCAATCCAAAGCGGGGCAACAGAAGGGATTTTAAACTTGAAGTGCAGGGAACATGAGGAATTTTAAAGTTGAAGTGTAGAACAAGTGCCAGGTCTATCCAGTTCAGTTCTTACTGTAGGTTACACAAGTATTTAAGTACCTCAACATTATAAAGTCCATTTATGAGAAGCCCAATGGTAACTTAGTACACGGTTGTGAAAAATGAAAGCTTTTCCTGTACAATGAGGAACAGGTCAGGGATGTGCACTCATCACTTCCCTTCAGTATGCTACGGAAAGTCCTAGCTATATAGACTGAGAAATGTTGCCTTGGAGGGTATTATGACATGCAAATTGCACTAGCGCACAGTAAATAACAAATACCATATGTTCTCAGTTGTTTGTTGTTCAGGGTAAAGACCCAAAGACCACTCAACATGGCCAGTCTTTGGGAGTCTGCATTAAGCCAGCTGGTGACTTCCGCCTGGAGAGAAACACTTCTCACAGAGCAATACATTTTACAGGGAGATTTTCAAGACAAAGAACACGGAAAAACTATATCCTTGCTAGAGGTTGCAGGGGGAAATAAAGGAAGTAAGCATTTAACAGAAGCCAAGAACATGCAGTTAGCTGGAGCATCTCCAACTCAGGTTTCTTGAACAGGGTTGGGGATTTTCCCACATTCTTTTCACAGTGTGGGATGGGGCGCTGTATAAAAGGTCAGTTTCAGGTTAAACCAAAGGTGATTTCAGCTGAGACAAGATGGAGAGACCTTTGCCCTGTCACATTTTATAGACTGAACTACTCCTAAAAGCATGGAATAGAATGGAGGTTATGAGAGACCACTGCCAGGATTGACAGCTTATCTATTGTTTTTCCTTCAGACTTATTAGTCATTGAGCTTCCTTCTGAGCACATTTTATTTTATTTATCTTATAATTTATTTACATTTTTTGAGTCGGGGTCTTATTGTGTAGCCCTGGCTAGCCTGGAACTTACTATGTAGGCTAAGCTGGTATCGCTCTCTCTCTCTTTTTTTTTTTTTTTTGGTTTTTCGAGACATGGTTTCTCTGTATTGTTTTGGAGGCTGTCCTGGAACTCGCTCTGTAGACCAGCCTGGCCTCGAGCTCACAGAGATCTGCCTGCCTCTGCCTCCCGAGTGCTGGGATTAAAGGCGTGTGCCACCAACGCCCGGCTTAAGCTGGTCTCTTAACTCAAAGAGATCCACCTGTTCTGCCTCCCAAGCACGTGGTTAAAGGTGTGTACAACTAAGCCAGTCCTGAGTACATTTTAAATAGCTTCTTTTTGGTTTGTTTGATTTGGCTTTTTGAAACAGGGTTTTTCTGTGTAACTGTAGAGTCTGTCCTGAAACTCACTCTGCAGACCAGGATGGCCTCGAACTCACAGAGATCCACCTGCCTCTGTCTCCCTGAGTGCTAGGATTAAAGGCATGGCCAACCAACACCTGACTTTTAAACAAGTTTTTATTAATGAGAAGAAGGCTCCAAAAGGGAACGTAAATTTCCTTAGTAACAACAATAGTGCTTTAAAAATGCATTCTTAAAATTTTTATTAAGTTTATTTTTATGTGCCAGGCACACACATGCAACTATGTGAGGGCACAGAGGACAGCTTTTGGGAGTCAGTTCTCTCCTTCAACCCTCTGAGTACCAGGAATGAAACTCAGGTCATCAGGCTTGGTGGCAAGCACTTTTATCTGCTGAGCCATCTCACTTACCAAAAAAAGAGTAAATGTTAGTTGTCTGCATTACAAAAGTTGGAAGAAATTGATATGATTGATATGCTGCTTACTTTGATTTAATTAGTCCACATTTTTACATATATGTAACATCACTCTGTGCCACAAAAATGATATAATTACAATTTGTTGATTTATAATTTAAAAATTCTAGCTATGGAAAATAACTAAATTCTAAATATATATATTATATATATATTTGTAATAGTCCAAATAAAATTTGAATAATTTATGCATGCAAGTATATAATCAAAACTAAATTAGGACAGAGTTCTATAATTTCATTCAAACAGGAAATCCAAAGGTTATATACTAAATTTATAAAAACATTTATATTCAAAAGGTAGTAAGGATTGTCTTTTGTGACTCTACAACACAAGTTCTAACTTATTTTTCTTTATAACTGATTATTTATGTTGAGGGGTAAGTTTCAGACATTTTTGTACAGAATTTGTTTTAAAATTTTGCATAATTATGTTTTGGGTATGTATACATGTATGTGTACTGTTTCTCTTGTGTATGCTGTCAATAGCAGGTTATTGCAGATCACTCTCCATTTATTTATTGAGAGAGGGTCTCTTACTTGAATCCAGCTAGTCTAAGTAGACAGTTTGCTCTGGGAATCTCCTGTTTCTGCCTATTGAGTGCTAGGATTATTGGCAGGCTGCCTCACCTGCCCAACATTGGATGTGGGTCCTGGGCATCTGAACCCTCATCTTCATGCTTGGGTACCAAGTACTTTACCCACTGGATCATTTCCCCAGTATGTCTTAATACACATACCATTTCCCGTATGTCTTAATACACATACTAAACATGCAAAGATCATGTGTATTATCTTCCTTAGACAATTGTTCTAGCGACTTTTCACCTTCAAACTTGGAGATAAGATTCCCAAACAGTGCAGTGATGGTGCATGCCTTTAATCCCAGCACTCAGGAGGCTGAGGTAGGTAGAGTTCAAGGCCAGTCTGGTCTACAGAGCTACTTCTACGACAGCCATGGCTACACAAATAAACTTTCTCAAAAAACCAAAAGGGAAAAAAAGATTACCTGCGAGGCTATATCAAACATTGCTACATTACTACTTAAGCCCTACCAATTCATGGGTTTATGTCACATACACTACATACTCTTGTTTTTATCTTTCACAATATATTAATAGAATTATTAGAGAAATTGGACTACCATAACCAAGAATGTTAGAGTACACACAGCTGTGACAGGCACCAGTCAAAGACACATTTCTACTCTAAAAACATAAGAACAGAAGTACTTTTAAAATTGATGGGGCTGCAGAGATAGCTCAGTGGTTAAGAGCATTTGTTCTTGCAGAGGATCTGGGTTTGTTCCCAGTACCTATACAGCAACTTAAATCCATCTGTAACTCCAATTGTAGGGAATACTTTGTCCTTTTTAATCTCCATAGACACAATGCATGCACGTGCATGTGGTACACAGACATTCAGGTAAATCGTTCATATACATAA